TGAGCCCGGAACCTGACCGTCCAAGGCTCTTATCCGGCCCTCGAGCAACCGGTGCTAAGGAGGGAACAGGAGGCTGCTTGGGGGAGGGGGTGGAGCCACTCTGATTGTGGCTTCAGCACAGTGGAACAACCACATCTGCAGCAGTCAAACAGAACCCCTGTACTTCAATGGCAGCCTCACTGGTGAACAACCACATCTGCAGCGGTCAAGCAGAACCCCTGTACTTCAATGGCTGCCTCACTGGTAAGTTGCAGGCCACCGCAGCTGCATTCATGCTGCATCAGAGTTCCAAGGTGAAGCTGCATGCCTCTCCACTTGGCCTGCAGCTCCGGGGATGCGGTCTCAGATGGGTACAGGGATTAGCATTTGCACATGGGGGGTGCAGACGATCCTCTGCTGGGGCCTGCTGGCCAGAGGGGGCCACTGCTGCACAGGCGTCTCTGGCTTGTCAGGCTTTGCTTTGCTTGGCCCGCCCATGGCCTTGACCCGCCCGCTTCCGCAGGCAGGGGGGTTAGTTCAACTTGTCTTCCCAGTCCTCTTCCATGGTGGCTCAGGAGCAGGGGGAGCTCACAACACCCAACCCCTTCACATTTTTACACTGGGGCCCAGGCTCACAGCATTGACAGTAGGAGCAAGCTAGGGAAGGGGTTTGCCTCCCCTCCAGGCAGCACGGGAGTGTCTGGCTAGTGCTGTACCACTGGCTCTCCAGTCCGCCCGTGTGGGTTGACCTCTGCACCCCCACCCCCAGCCAATGGGGCCTTGCAGTAACAGCACACCAACTCAGAGCTTACCATTACAGTCCTTTAAAAAGTTTATATCTCCAGTACCTGGCATTACTTTTTATAGCACACATGGCCCAGCCCCATAAAATCCCATTTACATCAGATCCAGCCCTTGTAAGAAATTAGTCTGACACCCTGATAACTAGCAACTGTTTTTTTGGGGGGTTGGGGTTAGGGTATTTGCTAGTATTCTGTATTATTCCACTGGTTTATAAACCTTTCCCAAATAATCTGTGTTTTCCACATGTATGCTTAGGAATTAAAAGCTATACAGATCTGACATCTGGTCTAAGATGGAATTCTTGGAGAAAAACTTATGTGCCGATCAATAACCTTCTACCTTAAAGTACTGAAGTGAAAAGGAGATGTTGGAATAGTGGGCCTCATTTCTCTCACACACACATATCATAGCAGGATGTTCAAACAGGAAATACACAGGCTGATTGCCTGTCCAGTATTGAGCCTTGCCCACTACTAAAGTCTGTCTGATATTGTCCAATATTGATATTATTTATTTATGACATATCCTCATCTCCCAGTGGTGGCAGCAAGAAAATCATCCAAGATTCATAAGTGTAAGATCAAACTCCTAACATTGGCACACAGTCCTGGGACTCCAGACAGAAGAAGGAATTGGGTGGCCAGTGAGATTCATCACAGCACTGGCCCAAAGGTCCAGGTGATGGAGCATTGACTGTGGCTGCTGGGATCTGCCAAGGCCAGCTGACTTGGAGCTACGTCATGGCTGCTGAGGAGGAAAACCCAGTTGTCATGGTGACACGGACGCTTCCCTATGTGAGGACAAAAGAGGACCACTTCACAAGGCCTCTGGAGGAGACTGGAAACCATGCGCAGAAACAATGAAGAAAGAGTGATTTGCCCCAAAACACAAGAGGCAGCTCCTCTCCAAGGCCAGTTCTCCAGGCCCAGTTTTGGAAGCGCATTTCAGGACTTCAGCCAGTGGGGTCCCACGGCTGGTCCGTGGGTCACCGCAGATTCTTGCGTATGCTGATCCCTGACACAAAGCCAGAAAGAGGGGTTAGCTTGAAAGTTATGAGCTACTTAGGAAAGAAAGCTAGTGACAAACAGAGGAGGCGATAAAGAAAAAAAGGTGGATTCAAAGAAGCTGTTTCTCTCACATTTGAAGCTTAATAAAATGAAAGAATGGCTGTGGGTACCATCAGGAAGGGCAAGCAAAACAACATTCTGTTTTCGCTCAGCACACTGGCCTCCCTACAGCCTTCAAATTGTGCCTATCCTGATTAACAAGATTCCAGCCCCTTTAGCCTACACTGCTCCTATTCATGAAAGCCAAAGCTCACTTAGCCTTTGGTGCCTTTAGATTTATGAGCAAGTTCAGTTTACAGATTGTGCATAGCTGGAGGTGAGATATAAAATCCAGAGATAGGAGAGACAGAGATGCTGTGTCTGTTTGGGGAAATTGCTCTGACTTAATACATGTTTCATTCTTGTGAGGATGTTTTAGTGAGGGGAAAAAAAAATCAGCACACAGTTCTAAATGGTGCAGGACACATTCACAAACTTGTGCAACAAGGTCACTTTTCTTTTGCTGTATCAGTAAAATACATCACAAGAGACCAATGTGCCTGCAGGAAATCAAGAGAAGAATGAAGTAGAAGAGATACTATGAGGAATTCTGTCTCCTCTGCCAAGATAGTGTGACATCTTTCACTGAATGACTACTAGCTTCCATGTTATATGAGCAGTTACTACTAGCTACGGTGACTAAAGGGAACCTCCATGTTCAAAGACAATAAACCTCTGAATCCGAGCGCCAGGAGGCAACATCAGAGGAAGGCCTAGGTCTCTATGCCCTGTTGGTGGACCTCCATGACACTGGTTGTCCATGTATGAAACAGAATGCTGGACTACTAGTCTGATCCGGCAAGGTTCTTCTTATGTTCCATGGAGCACAGGCCTTTGAGGGAGAACCATACGATACAGAGTGCTGCCTTATAACACAAACCACTGACCTACGTAGTCCACAACTAGTGACTTCATCACTCCTCCTACTCTTGCTGCCGCAGCTCCGTAACACTTTCCCAGAACTGGAACTGAAGATTCCAGAGCAGACACATGTGAAGCTTGTTGTCCCACTAATCTACAGCACTTCTTGTTGTAAATGCACATATTGTAAATCAATATGTAAAGATACATATTGGGTTGGATCAAGCCAACTTCTGAACTCAGTTTTTCCAAATTCTCCTCTTTACTACTTCCCTGTCCCACATGGGGTTTTGTCCATTTGGATCCCTTGATTTCCAGAATAGCCATTTGGGGTGTTCAAAGGTCCCTTTTTCACCATCGGAACAGATGGATACATCCAACCCAATGTTATGTCTTGAAAGTTATGAGCTACTTAGCTTGAATTAATATGACCATACTTAGCCTTTGGAATTAATATGACCATATGACACATTTGTGCTCTACTTTGAGGATTTTTAGGCTCGCTTCCAGGCTTTTCATATGTTGTTTAGGGCCACTTTGCACATGTGATATCGATATGACATACATATGTTTGGATTTTTAGGCTCGCTTCCAGGCTTTTCGTATGTTGTTTAGGGCCACTTTGCACATGTAATATCGTACATATGTATGTTTTTGGTGCATTTGCACATGTTGGGAAGCTAAAAATAATCACAACTTTCCTTAACATAATGAACTACACATGGCTGTCTTGCAGTGTTCCCTCTAAGCTGAGTTAGTGTGAGCTAGCTCACAGTTTCTTAGCCTCTGGCTCACACATTTTTGCCTTAGCTCAGAAAGGATGGCTCCAGAACAAACTAATTCATGCAGTAGACAAAACACCTGCTCAAAACTTTAATGCCAGTAGCTCACAAAGTAGAATTTTTGCTCACAGGGCTCCATAGCTTAGAGGGAGCATTGCTGTCTTGTATTTTCCTGAAAAGACATGCTTTTTATGTAGGTAAATGTTAAGAAGCAATGAATTCCTGGGGACACAAGGGGGAGGGGAAACAGTGGGGCATTAAGTGTGAAGGAATTACAGTGTATATACAGGATAATTCCCATTTATTCCTGATGAATCAAAAAAATAATCAGCACACTCCCTGGTCTGTACTAATGATCAATAATATGGATTAGAATTGCTGCATATAAATATGCATGGAAAAGGCATCAGCCACAAATACTCACCATTACATTTTTGCAATTATGAAAGAGTGGTTAAAGGATATTAAAAGGTTAAATAAGATCCATTAAATAATTTTCTCTATAATCCCTTTCAGTCCGTTACGCAGCATATGCAAGATGACACACTTGTACTGCACACTCATTCATTTAGAAAACTCACACATTCAAATATACATGCTCCTAACTCATTCATCTACATGAATTCAAATGCGCACTTGCTTATACGCATGGATCAAAGGGTGGGGGAAATTCTTCTCAGTGTACCCACAAACAGTTAAATAGTTAAAAAGGTTAGATTACCATTTTGTGTAACAACTTTATGTGCCTACTGTGGGCATTTTCATACTGAACAAGGAGGCTGAAATCTGCTACGCATGTGCAGTTCAGTTCTCCACAGAGCTAAAAGTGCTTTATCAATGAGTTCACGTGACAAGAATCAATGAAATAAAGTGCCTGTAACTTTGCATAGCTGCAACCTTCCCTGTGAGCAAGCTGCATCAAACTTGGTAGGTTTTACTTTTGAACTAAACTTTTGAAACAAAGTTCTTTCGCACCTCCTGTGCCAATTAAGAATGCACAGCTGAATGAGAAACATCTCTCATGTGCGTTTTACCAAATTAGAACAAACTACTATAAGGCACAAAAAGAAGAAGGGAAAAAATATATATATACATTAATGTCAGGAACAGGCAAGGTGAGGAAACAACAACAAACAAAGAGGAGGGCCTGATGAAGAAGGCATGCAGCATGGAAGGGGTGGGAAATTACATGGAGCTGAAGCTTTTGCCTATGACATGGAAGAATGAATCAAGGGGGTATTAAAATAAGGGTACTTTGGAATTCCGGATTCTATTATCCAGAGAACTTTAAATCTTTATTTGCCAATCCCAATTGAGGTGATTTAAGGGACACAGCGTGTTTTAGTTTCTCCATAAACAGGGAAGCAAGCATGTGTGAAAAGGGGGGCACACAGCCCTCACGCTCCCAACCTCTTGCTCCATCCCCCACATTACCTTCCCCCTTCATCAACCAATCCTGCCCCCTAACCTGTCAGCCTGAGGAAACCGCTGATGCTCTCTGGCAGAGGCAGACGCTTGAGGTAGGCGGGCAGCTGCACTTTAATAATGCGGGCCAAGCTGTCCAGCACCATGGCGCGGGCTGGCGCGGCGGCGGCGGCGGACCTGCTGAAGTGGGAAAGAGCAAGGCAAAGGAAGGGAGGGGGCGCGGCGCGGCTACCTCCCGCTCTCGCGATTAACTCTCATGCCAAGTTCGACTTTGCCCTTTTTCTTCCCCCTCGGAGCAGTGCCCTCTCCCGCCAGGGAGCATGCGCGCAGCATCGTAATGATGATGCCGGAGCCCGGCCCGGAAAAAGGGCCGGGAGGAAGAGGAGGGGAGAGTTGAGATTTGGGGATGGGCTTCAGACCGGCCTCCAGCGCGCTGGACACCTCAGGGGGGCGTCTTGCACCCGGCTCATAGGGAAGGAGAAACGCGAAAGAAAACTGGCTTAGCTAGGCTAAGCTCCTGCCTTCTTTTTAAAGCACCATTTTGCAAGATACAAGAGATCCTAAGGAGTATAGCCTTTATGACGCCCAAGGTTCTGTTAGGCCTGTCAAAGTATAGTGATCGATGGAGGAAGGAGGGAAGAAAGTAGAAAGAAGTACCCTGTACAGACACTCTCACACAGACTGAGAAACCTGTAGGGGAACGCTTCAACCTTCCAGGACATTCAGTGGCTGACCTCAAAGTTTTGCAAAGGAACTTCAGGAACAGAATGGAAAGGGAAACAGCTGAATTACAAGTTATTACAACACTTGGAACAAACACCCTGCCAGGACTTAACGGGGATATTGGTTTCTTATCCCATTACACATGCTAACTCATTCAATCCTCACCTATGTATTCTCACCAAGAAGGGCTATACATCCCCTATATTTTGATGTTTTTCTTTTTTTTGAGATAGTATATTATAATAGTGATTGTAATGCAATGCAATATCTTGTTGATCTCTGACATAACCAGGGGTCTTGTTGTAGAAAAAGAGCTGCCGGAGCTCATTAGCATAACTCATTAGCATAACTTATTTGCATATGCCACGCCCCCTGACATCACCGGAAGTGACAGAAGGCCACACCCCCTGACATCACCGGAAGTGTGTCAGAAGGCCCGGCTACTTACCCTCCTGCTTCATCCTCATTCCCAAACGGAATGAGGATCGAAGCAGAGGGCGGGGTAAAGAAGGGGCGGGGCTTCACCACGTGACCGCCCCACCCCCTAGAGGTTCTCTTCCGGAGCTCCATACCTGAGAGCTCCCCCCCGACTAGAGCCCTGAAGATAAATGAAATGAAGGGATCACTGCAAAAGCATCTTTATATGTTTGTGCAGTCAGTTGCAGAGCCTCCCCCCCGCCCCCCAGTCCAAAACAGTCCAGTGGCACCTTTAAGACCAAGTTTTATTTAGGTACAAGCTTTCCCTCCTCTGCAAGGACAGATCTGCACGTTCCCCCCCCCCCAATAGCTAGCAATCCAAAACAGTCCAGTGCAGCCTGAGCGGTGGGTGTTGCCTTCTGACACACTTCCGGTGATGTCACGGGGTGTGGCACATGCAAATAACTTATGCTAATGAGGTATGCTAATTAGCTCTTGCACCTTTTTTTCTACGAAATGACCCCTGTATACAACTATGATATGTAATTCCATTTCATCGTCTGACGCAGTGTGCATGCACACAAAAGCTCACACCCTGAATAATTTATTTATTTATAATAAAACTTGGCTGGTCTTAAAGGTTGTAAAAATACAAGAAAAATGGCGGCCAAGTAGGGCTGTTGAAGGAAAGAACACATAAAGCTCCCAAGGGAAGCTCTGTTGCTGATATGCATGTCTCTTATGGCTGCCACCTCTGTCTTGGGAAATTCCTGGAGATCTGGGGGTAGGTCCTGGGGAGGGACTCTATAAAGTACTGAGACTGAGGCATAGCGTAGTGATTTCAGCTCATACTTGATTCGTACATAGGAGAACCTAAGATGAAGTAGCCAGGCCAGAGGCCGACTTATATCCCCGTAGCAAACCACACCCAAACACACACCCACACCTGTGATAGGCTTATTTACAGTGCACCCAAGTCCCATAGGTCAATTCTCGGATCCTGGCCATACGATAGGTGCGCCCTAGGATCCTTTCGGGCTATTATCTCTGGAAGCGAAGCTTGGGCCATTTGCATGGCCGCGTGCGGACCTGACCACGTGCGCGGTTTCTCTGGGTACACAACAGATTCCCATTTCTCCTAGACTTTATGGTATACCATAGAATCTGCCTCCAAAGCTGTCATTTTTTCTACGGGAAGTGATCTCTGCTGTCTGGAGTTTAGTGGTAATTCAAAAAGACCTCCAGCTCCCACCTGGAGGTTGGCAGCCCTGATTGCCTCTGGATTTGCAGTAGTGATGAAATGAACACAGAGAATCCTCACAATTTGGAAGTAACAAGACAGATATGATTGCTTAATATGATTGTTTTGCAAGTGTCCAAAAGCATAACCAGACCCATTGTGAGATTAAATTCTAAAATGACTTTTTTTTTACAAAAATCTTGTCATTGAGCTAAAATGTCAGATCACTCTTGAACGATTTAAAATCCCCTGAACCAATTTCATCACATAGCCTTGGAGTTTATTGTGGAACATGCACCACAAGGAGTAACCAGAACCAAGAGATGTTCCCATTCACACCAATGCTGTTCTGTGCTTTCAGCTTTTCTGTGTTCTTTGCCCCTTTTAGATTCTGCCTGTGACAGAAATCGCTTGAAATAGATCTCTGAAGCTTCTGGGCCTTGCTGAGCAGCCTTTGATCTGGGCTTCTTTCAGCACACAGATAGACACACTGAACATGCTGAGCAGAAGAAGAGTTTTTGATCCATTTCCATTCACTGCATAAATGTCAATAAATGTTACCAATGTAGTTTTGGGCTATATTAAACTAAAAGGCTTATTGAAGAAAAAAGATGAAATTGAGGAATTATTTTTTAGTAAAATAGAAAGTGCACTGGACAAAGATTCCGAGGAGCAATGGTACATTCAATGGAGGTGCAAGAAGATCTTTCGCTGCCTGAGACAATGGAGGCAATAGCTCCTGCCTCTCTGCCTTACCACTGCCTCATTGTTGCTGTAGCGGGACCCTCATACCTGCAGGACTGCCTCCTCCCATTACAATCCTCCACACTCCCTTCGGTCAGCCTCTAGGGGCCTCTTGCAGCCGGGATAGCTTGGTTAGCTGTCACCAAAGGAAGGGCCTTCTCAGTTATGGTCCTGGCCTGGGAAGTGCATTCTCTGATGACACCAGCACCCTGCCAGACTTGCTTACGTAGTTTCTGCAGGGTGTGGAAGGCCGAATTGTTCAGGCTGGTCTTTGGAGTGTAATACACCCAGGCCCCGGTCACATGGAGCATTTGCCCCGCTGAAGGCACGGGAGTCCCGCGGAGTATCCGGGCGCAATCACACGGGAACATCTGGGAGGCGTAGCACTCCTGTGGCAAGCCGCCCAAGCCGTGCAGTAAAAAACTAGCACACCGCATGTACTAGCAAACGCTTTGCCACGGGCCGCCTATGGAAGCCTCCCGGTGTAATTGCGCCGGCGCGCAGCTTCCTCCCCCGTCATCCTCTGTGCTGCGGGGAAGCCGTTGTCGCGTCTGATCGCATAATAGCGCAGCAGAATGCGACGGCGCAAATAGCCGCGCGCCCCCTGCATTTTCCGGCACGTCTGGCTGAGGCCATAGTTTGGTTGGTTTTGTTAGTTTAACATTTTAATCTTAATATTTTATAGTTATCTGCTTTTATGTTGTTTTTAACTTATTTATATGGTTTTAATGTAAGTCGTCGTGAGACCCTTTGGGATAAATAAATAAATAAATAAATAATAAAGAGCTGCTAACTTTCCTGTGACTGCTCTCACCATCACCACTCCCCCCCCCCCAAGATAATCTCTTTATGGTCACAGCCGTCTTCAGGATTTCCTGAACTCTTGTGAGACTACTTCCTCTTTCAAGAGTTTGGCTACCATTTTGGTTATCCTGCCAACAGGCAACCGGGAATGGTGGCTGAATTCCTAACAGAAGGAATCTTATGGGAGTTCAGGAAAAGGCATGCATAGCTTGACAGGCTATTTTTAAAGAGGCCCTTGGGAAAGATACCTTGGTGTGAGCAGCAGACTGGATGCAGGCGGAAAGCTGGCTAGACAGAGATGGGTGAGCTGGGAGCGAGAGCCCCCCTGGAATCTCTCACCTGGACTGATTGCCTCCAGTTGCCTCATTATAACTCCTACCCTGACTTGTTTGGAACTCGAGGTAACTACAATTCACACAACTGGATGCTATGTGCAAACAGGGGAGGCTTCTCATGGTCTATAAAGTTTGCCATGCCTTTAAATTCTTCTTAAATTATCTCCATACCCCAGTTTAGTCAATATCACACTGTTATGGCCACTCAAAAGGAATCAATAGAATCCAAGAACCACTATCTGTCATTGCTAACCCTGTTTCCTTGAAAAATACTATAGGTTATGGATGGTCCCCGTGTCCAAGTTGGCAGATGTATTTGCTACTTTGGGGGAGTGGATCAGCCATAACACATACTTTGCCTGGAGAAAAGTCCCAAGCTCTACCCTTGGCATATACAATTACAATGATCTACATTGGAATAGACTACACAAGGCTAAGAGCCAATTCACATGTCAAAAAGTCCTCCAGGCTACAATGTGGATTTTTTTTTTGTCAGATAAGCAATGGAAGTTTTGTGCCTCCCAGAAACATGCAGGCCAATTTTGACCACAAACTTGGTATGTGGCAAGAAGGAATTTCAGCCTCCCTACCCTGTACTCATTTTGTGTCCTAAAACTGCCCTATGCAGTTGGTATTAGATTACATAACTCAGGTGGCTACACGTAATATGCACAATGAGTAAATAACTCCGGGAGCAGGCAGGATGCTAACACAGTATGGATGGGGGAAGCTGAAGTCCCTTCTTCAAGGGCACTGTAGTCTCCATCAGAATCCGCCCTGCCTGCATCTGGCAGGAACAAACTTGTTTCCCACGTCTCATATGAAGTTTTCATGGCAGCCTTGAGGTCATTTTGAAGAGTGAATTGGGAGTGGGCCAATAGTTTGGCACAGCTTCCTATTTAGAGAGAGAACAGGAAAATAAGAAACAGATTTTGCATAATCACCTCATTCTTTCAACCCCTTCCAAAGTTAGGGCACAGCATCCTATGACCAGGATGCAGGATAAAGGAAATCTATGAAGTACTTCACCATGATTTCCAGCAAGCATGTCCAAACAGCCCTTTCTTGAAGTTTAATGCTATCGTGTG